AACATTTTGTGCACTCAACAACCGGAGTGCACATAAACAACATTGAAGCTATGTGGTCGAGGCTGAAAGAGTTTTCGAGACTTTATCATGGCTCCAGAGGCCGACTATTATGTAGCCGTATGAATGATTTCCTCTCCCGCATGCATTACGATTTTAGAACCTCTTAACCTCTTTCTAACCTTGAAGAGTTTCTGAACCACGTATAAGAAGTGTATCCACTTTATTTCCTTGGTTTTGTATAACATATTTTTACTCTATACTGACTGTTTTCAGATTAGCTAATATTTCTCAAGGTCACTTAAGATTCGTTTAAATTTCGTAGATAAATTAGAGTCTCAACAAGATTACATAAGTAAACATGATAAGTGAAAAGTAAAAGTTGATAGTGTGATCACAAGTGTACCAGTTTTGATAAGAATAATAAAGGCTTAAATCAATGTTACATACTGGGAAATAGGTCAATGATTAGAAAAATATAAACACTGAAATAAAACGTAGAAGCATGTGTATTTACGAGTTCAGCTGCTCCTGTGGAGAAAGCTATATTAGGAGCACTACCAGACAACTGAACCAAAGAGTCAGTGAACATCTTCCTTCGTGGTTAGGAAAAGGTAATGTCAAGACAATACACAGCTCAGTTCTATGACACCTGATCGATAGCTGTCATGTAGTGGACAGAAACAAGTCATTTAAAGTTATTTATGGTACTCCTACTAGTTTTCCTTATGATGTTCGGTCTCGTATCTTACACATAGCAGAAGCTATAGGAATTCGAGTCTACAATTCATAAGAAATTTGTAACACCCTTATCTCTCCCCAGGACTTAATAAATGATTTATTTCCCAGACTCTTTGTTTGCTTATTGTTCTTCACACCCTCCCACCCTTTTCCTTTCTCAAATATACGCTTCACGGTCCAATTATCTGAGTTACCCCTTATTACGTAATCTTATGGTTTTTATGAATGTTTCAGCGTTTATATTTTTCTTGAAAAAACGTTTTGATCATTTTGCCGCGTTCACATTACTAACTTATTAAGTCTATTGTTATTATTCGTATTATGTAATCTAGTATTGTAATCTTTCCATTGCATTATCATGGTTATTCCGTATTCACAGTTTGATAAATTTGTTTGAAAAGAGATCCCTTCGTTGAACTTTATGCTTTCAATGTTGAAATCAGAGTTATCTGTCAATAATTAGCTAATTATGAAATATTTAATTATTTTTAACAGAACTCCAAAGAATCTTAAAACAACATAGAGTTAAAGTATATTACGAAACAACGAACACACTTCGAAGTACTTTAGTTCACTTAAAAGAAAAAACCCACTTCATGTCTACACAGAACTGCGTCTACAAATTAGGTTGTGTCGATTGTTATGCCTTCTATATTAGAGAGTCATCTCGCGAAATCTTGACTCGTGCCAAAGAACATATTAGGTACACAAAGAAACCTCCTAATAATCCCGTTGAACTGGATCAACTTCAAATTAAATCGGCAATAGCAGTTCGAGCCATTTTCAACGACTACCAAATCAATTTCAAAAATATCAAAATATTACAAAAAGGTTTTCCCAATTACAAAGAAAGGAGAGTAGCTGAAGCGTTCCATATAATGCTTAATCCAACTTCTCTCAATAGAAAAGAAGGCCTAACCATCCATTCTACCTGAACTATCTATCCTAGCCACCTAGTCTGATCTTATTTACAATTCACACTATTATCTTACAAATTAAACTCTATCCATTCTCACTACAAAGGTTACACAATTTTCGCCTTTAACAGTGCACACATACATAAGCACAAATTTACATACATGTTGCTTATGAATCACCTTGACTGAAATGACATGACATTGATTTATTCATACCTGTTTTTTTGATTGATCACATAATATTCTTCTTGTTCCGTTGTGCTATTCAAACTTGGATTAATTTTGATTTGGTCATTTATTTATTCTCTGAAGAAGTATCTTACACTAAGTCACGAAACGTCAGCAAATTTAATTTTTCTACTCATTGGGATATCTACAAATATATTAATTAATTTATATTTAATACTTTCTTTATGTAAATATTATTTTGATATCAAGTATGACATAATTCAATGATTGTTTATACATCAATGAATTCAATTCGTAGTTGGGAGCTTTTATAAAGTTAACTGATTTAAATTTAATCAATAAAATAGGAAACTAATGATACTTACTCAATATCTTAATTGTGTTACTATTCTTATAAAACTTGATTATTGAATTAAGGGTAAACTAACTTACCTACTTACTTACGCTTGTTACTCCTAATGGAGCATAGGCAACAGACCCACCATTCTCCAACACACTCTGTCCTGCTCCTTCCTTTCCAGTTCTATCCAATTCTTGTTCATTCTTCTCATGTCTGTCTCCATTTCCCGTCGTAATGTGTTCTTTGGTATTCCTCTTCCCCTTTATTTAGTCTTGAAGATTACATGTGAAGGCTTGTCTTGTGATGTAGTTCGGTGCGATCCTCAATGTGTGTCCTATCCACTTCCAGTGATTCTTCCCGATTTCTTCCTCCACTGGAATCTGGTTTGTTCTCTCCCATAGTAGGATGTTGCTGATAGTGTCTGGCCAATGCATCTGAAGTATTTCGTGTAGACAATTGTTAATAAACACTTGTATCTTCTGGATGATGACTTTCGTAGTTCTCCAAATTTCCACCACATACAGTAGAACTGTTTTGACATTTGTATTGAAAATTCTGAAATTGGTATTGGTTGGTTGACAGACAGTTGTTTCGAGTTCCAGATGTTCTTCAGTTGTAAATATGCTGCTCTTGCTTTGCCGATCCACGCTTTCACATCTGCATCAGATCCACCGTGTTCATCAATGATGCTGCTCAGATATGTCAAGGCTTTTACATCTTCCAAATCTTCTCCGTGAAGTGTGATTGGATTGTCGCATGCTGTGTTGTATCGGAGAATCTTGCTTTTCCCTTTGTGTATATTGTAGGGGTAAATTAAGATATAACAGTTGTCCAATATTGTTTAATTTGTCAATAATTTTCTATCAGGACAAATATGATGGTCTACGATGTAACCAATCATTTGTTTTAAAGTATATGATATGTGAAAATTCTGATTATAATCTATAATCTGTTATACTGATTGTCATTACATATAATGACCGAAAAATGGTTATATTTAAACTTATATCTTCTATTGCCATCGATAAAATGTACTTCTTTTCCGACATGGCTATAATATATAAATCACGGCTTCTTTTTAGACTTCAAAGATATTTTTGACACGATAGGATATATATTTATTATTCTAAGGTTTTTTAATTGGTATTTATCTAAAATCAGACTGTGATCTTATGTAGTGTTGTATGTGAACCATATTGATAGGTCTCAAATAAATGGTAAGCAGTTATTAGGTGATTCCCGATTCAGTCAGTCGGTAACAATGTATGACCAGGTACATGTATGTATCGGTCCAAGTTGCCACATTTCATTAACATAACAAGACAAACACCAAATTCATGGAAGTAGTTGCTTTAATGGTAGTAATATATAAAAGAAAGATTGCGTTTAATGATATAATACAGGAAAAAAGAATTGGTTTGTAGAAAGAAAGGTATAAATCAATTTTAATCTGATGGTTTAAGGGAAGACAAAGAGTGTATATACTTATGTCCTTGTGATCGATTCCACTATTCCACTACCTTCGTAGTGAACGAACACCCAGGTGGGGAAAATCAATTTACTGTCTTATACACAATTACACTGTGGTTTAGTTGTACTTCGGTTTGAGCACTCGGGCAGTATCCCAACGCTCACACAAGTCGAATGATTTGTGTGGTGCACATATATTTCGTTCCATCTTGTACCACTGTACTATTAGTGTTACGTGCTATTTATATCTGCAAACACAAGTAGCATACACCACACCTGTTTCATTAGTACATGAAGAGAAACAGTTTTTAAGGAATATTCTTAGTTCTTTTAGAAATTAAGAAAACAACTTTTAATTATCAGTTGATATCAACTACTCACTTATAAAGAAACTCGTAATCAATGGTCAAACGTTTCATTATTCCTTACGATTTCATCTGACAGTGTTGTTTCGATTCCTTAACATATGGAACTCTGAAGATTTGACACTCAGAGAATTGTATAAATTTATTATTTAGGTAGAAGTAGGTGACTGACTTCTCCTTAATTTATTCAAGTCATGACATAAAACGACTGTTCTTGGATATCATCACTTTAATCAGCCATAGTTAGTTGTTAGACATGAATCATTCAACCGCACGGTTCACATATATTTATTGGAAACTTAAGTCAATTCAACCCATACATTCCAAACATTTTTTATACGTGGATTAATGATGCTATTCAACTTTCTGAAACAAAGTACTTGAAGTGAAATTCAAACTTTCGGCTAAATCGTTGTAAATCAATTGATTTCATTCATAAACCATCTCATCATATTTACCCAGTACATTTCCCTTTATTTTGTAGATGTAAACAATGATATAAACGAATTGTATTGTACATCATTTCAGTTAAGAAACTTCCAATTTTCGTGTTTTCTAAAAGACATTAGAGATACAGAGATAAGAAAATATTCATTTGTGTTTTGATTCAAAACACTTTTCTCAGTTTATATTATTGACGCTATTATTATCATCATCATCATTAATTTTGTTATTAAAGATCTGCAAATTCCTATCTTGTTCGCTCAACCGCTCCCCCCCCTCACCCACTGACAAATTACATTTCCGTGATTATCGATACAATATCTAATTATATTCAAATTAAAACATTTAATGGTCGGATCTATTCCTTTGATATTGATTAAAATCACATTGATCCTCTCCTATTCTTTTCATTTCTCTATCCTATTTTCCCTGTTTCTTTTTTAATGTTTCTAAATTAATAGTAACTCTTTTCTATTTCAATTAAAATGTAATAAATTTGTTGTTATAATCACTTCTTCTTCTAAATTGTTTTTTTTAATGTTTTGTTTTAGTGCGTGGACATGTAAATTTGTAGGTATATACATATTCTCATGAGTGTGTGTGTGTGTGTATGAATGGAATAATCATCATTGGTATATTTAGCTAGTTACTATTACACCAGTTACTATAATTATTCTTCTCTGAGTGTGCTCTAATATATAAATATGAAAACATATATATGCACAATTGTATATGTGTGTTTATCTTTTCCAATAAATAAATAAATAATCACTGAGATAATCAACTAATCAGGATTCTTTTGATTTTTTCTCCCCCCGATGTTCATGATTTCACTGGTACAAATTTGCTGATTGGCTATTGGAATGTTGTTTGTTTTTTTGGTGTTTTTTTTGAAAATATACAATTTCAATGTTCAATTATTTTAAAATAAGATTTATGTAGCAAGAATTAATCAGAGACAAATAATATTCGTCTATGCATCTTTGAAAATCCTTCAACTGGTGTGTTCAAATAAATAAATTAATTTTTTTTTAAATATTGGTTTTCAATAGAAGGATTTTAATTTTACCGGATTAATTCGAATCAATTATAGTGTAAGTCATTTTATTTAAATCTTTATATTTTATTTTTTTGATTGTTGTTTTTGATATTTTGAACTAGAGATGATGGAGAAGATTTGTAGATCAGGTGGATGATTTTGGTGGAGTTTTGTTCTCTGAACGGACGCACCCTTCACCTTTGCCTACACGAACATCAATTAGTAGTCAAACGCCATGATATCTCCTCATTTATATCAATAAACGTGGACAACTGCGGACACTCATTCGATTGGAAAAATGTGGAAAACTTAGACAGAGGAAATTTCAAAAACACCAGAGAATTTTTAGAAGCCTGGCACTCAAGTTAATCAGCAATTAACAAGCATATTGAAATCAATCCAATTTACCAACCAATCAGGAAAATCATGCACAAATATAGGAACAAAACTCAAACCGATGGGAGACACAGCCAAAACAAAGAAGTAAACAATGACAAATTTAAGGTCAATAAGAACCAATCAATATCGAGGTGCACGGAACAAGCTATGAAACACATATGGAGAAATTCGAACACTTCACTTCTATCTGAAGTTTGTGCTGATGATGTCGTTCAGAAGAACGATGAAAGCTCCACGACCAAACCATCCAACTCAGAGAACAAAACTCCACCAAAACTTTGAACTAGGAAATAGACTCATTGAATAGATGGTCTGTTATTATATGTTTTAATAAGTCGTTAATGGCCGTTAATGGTCGTCAGGGAAATCAAGAATGTTCGTTTCATCTTATTTGGAGGGGGGTTCAATCTTCCCTTTTCTCCGGCTTTTTAATTGGCTCTCTCAATCTCCAACATTTTCCGAAGATTTTATATGCGTATATTCATTGATGCTTTAGTTTTAAGAAGGAGCAACAGCCTTTTGGTTTCTGAATAATTTCGGATTTCATCACGCACTGATGGAACTGTTCTAAACGATGATCCTTTAACTCTCAGATCAGAAATTAAATGATTTAAAGGATTAATTCTGGTTAGCATTTGCTTTGACAGTGTTGTTATTCACTAGATGAGCTTGCTAACTCCATACCTTAAGTTCGTCCTTTATTCGAACTTGGGTTCGTCAATAACCTTGATAGGACTACAGGCAGGGTTTAGTTGAAAGTAGTCGGCAGAAAATGTTGTATTAGTTGACATTTATTAACCAGGTATACCTGTTGTATAAATGGAATTAATGCTCCTATGGGATTCGGACCCACCTTATGACTGACTTTAATTTTCAGTATCAGACACTTAGACATTACAACTTAATGTTTATTTATTCTGTGAGTAAATTGAGTACCTTTTACCATCATAATAAGTTGATCTAATAAAGAAAATATTAAAATGTCATTTAGACGAAATTATGTAATAGATAGATCAAAATCAAATCCTAGTGGAATTATCAAGGTTTCGTTTAGAAGTAATTATTCAACCATAATATTCAATGTTTAATCCGTAAACATTATTTACCCACTATTCTTGTACAAATCATTTTAGTGATTTTGATAAGAAGTGAATGATCACCTATAAGGTTAATCTATAACTTTTGCAGTAATTTAAAAGTGATCAGCTGAAAAACTATGAATCCCTCAATCGAATTCGTTGTAGATTTTTGTGAATTTATTTGTTATAAAGTTAACCGACCAACGGATCTTAGACTATTTCCAGGACGCGCGATTCGTCCTGGATTCCACTGATAAGCACTATCCATCTTTGCTTATAATGCTTGTAAATTAAGGTATTATCGAGACAATACTCACAGTATGCATGTATACCAATAAGAGACTGTTCAACTGCAGTCCTAAACATCAATGGGAAGATTCAAATAAAACAATACCAAGTGAATAAAACAAAAAAAACGTTTAGCTATACATAGTTAGATAAAAATAAAAACTCATCAAATCATGCATATCAAATAAGTATGAACGTCAAACGATAAAGTGATTGTATGAATATTATACATAAAAAGACGTTGATTGTAGTGATAGAAGTTAATTGTTATAATCATGAGCTTAAAAGTCATTAACTTGGAGATAGGATTCTAAACTTCTAGTGAGAAGCTGTAATGATTGATTTTTTCTTGAAACATTTCTAAACATTAGTCACTAATAACATTAAACAATCGTCTTACTACTGCACAAATGAATCGAAGTTGGAAATAGGTTACATGTGTTGTCATCTCAGTGATCTAATGGTAAATGGGTCCGCCCAAAGACTTAAGCTTATGGATTCGGATCATTGTGAACCATTGTACTATTTAAAGAGCTTCTATCAGAATGAAGTAACTATCTAGTACTCTATAGTTCTTCCTTTTATGCCAAATAAGAATAATCCTCGACCAATATCACATATAAATTTAAAAAATCTCTGCAGAACCACAATAATTAAAGCTACTGATAACTCATTAGTATATTTGTATGTTATTCTGTATTATTTTGAGCTTATATTCTAAAGTTATCACTACATTTTTTATTTTGAACACAGTTAATGCTTAAATTCACTTGGTATCGCTTTATTTGTATCTTCTCATTGTTATTTGGGACTGCAATTGATCAGTAATTTGATAGCACATGTGCATCCTGTGAGGATTGCTTCGTTAGTGCCTTAATTCACAAGCATTATAAACAAAACCGGATAGTGGCTAGCAGTGGAATCCAGGACGCGCGTTTCGTCCTATTTAGTATTCGTCAGCTGGATGTACCTGTATCCCAGAGTTGATGTTCACTCCGGGACTGTAACCCAGTACCGTTCGCTTCAAACGTGATCGCGTTATCCACTTAGCTACTGAGTCCTGATAACCACCTGCTTGTGAAATGGGGTGAAGTTTAAATTCACTTGGTGTTGTTTCTTTAGCAAGACGTAGACAAACATATATATCAATGAATCTAACGTTAGCTCTATAATTTTTAATGGTATTCTAAAGGTAGAAAAAATTTACCTCTGATGTTGGTCAGTATGATAGAGACTATCAATCACTGATTAGAGAGTCTCATAATTGTAAAGTGATATAGTACAACAATTACTATATTCCCTTGTAGTGAACGAGAACACAAGTAAGGACAATCGAATATAGTTGAACACAAAATTACAGAACATCTTCGTAAAATCTGAGAACCATAAAATAAATACTTAATTTGCAAAATGTTAATCAATCGTCTCAGACTTCATTGTTCCTTCGTTTCCATACCGATCATTTTTTTGTTCTTGTCCTCTTTTCTTTGATCTTCTTAACCTTCTACAGTCAGGTATTCCACTTTCGATTGACGATACATACTACTTATATCTGTCGACATCAGTAGCACACACCACACCCTTAATTAATGTTCATTATTAAATATTAAGGAAGACTATGTTGTTCGTCTTTATGATTGTTAGGAATCATCTACAGAGTATATTCTTAATAATCAGAAAAACACTTATGTTCATCCATCAAGATTTTAACTTACTTTATTGACTACCTCATTTTAAAATGTCTTCAATTCTAATTTTCAACTGAATTTTATTATAGATAAGTTGCACACTCAAACTGACACATCTAGTGATCTGTTAATGGACATAATTCTGTTTGCTCTATCCTGACTGGACTGTAAATAGGTGACATTATTAACTAAAGCATTCGTTAAATAGTTAAATATACAAACGATATAAATTTCTTGTAGATTATGAAATGAAGAATTACCGAGGACAGATAAACGAAGAAAACTAGAGTCACAAATTGTTGTAGAACACGTTTAGATGTAGCGTAACGAATTCCATTTTTTATTTTATCATCTAACAAGATAACTCGTTTCCTTACACCTTAAAGTCATTATCACTTTTAATCTATCTAACATGTACTATTTTGTTTAGGACTGATATTCTTTAAAATTGCTAACAAATCCGCGAATATTACTTTATAACTTCTTACAATATATATAAACAGACTATGAGTGTTTTATTTCTCACAGGATGATTAACAGAAATGGAATTTAACGATGGAAATAATTCTAACTATTAACCATAACTATGCGAGTCCGACTGGTACTCAAAAGTCTCTATTTAAAGTTTACAAAACATCTATAATGTTAAACAGTAAAGAATTCAAACGCAATCACCATAGTAGTTAATACATTTTCTTACGTATCCGTTTTTTTTGAAAAATAAAAGACGAAAATCTTGGAAAAAATGCATCCAGTATATTTATTGATGATAAACAGATGTCATGAGAGCTAATACTGATGATACGTGTGAGCTGTAGCTAATAACAATTGGAAACGTCTTTATAGATTTATTTGAATATTTGCATATTGCATAGAAACTGAAGGGGGATTTAACCGATTTTGCACATTTTGTACTGATTACTTGTAGAACTATGGTCTACTTCCTTATTAGTACTATTATAATAGACCTAATCCTAAAATCATAGATGTGTCATGATATGACTGTTTAGTCTACAAAATCTTGCTTGGACATCACATGTTTGTCTACATTGACTAATCGCATCGTAACAATTAACATGTCAGGAGTTTCTAAAGAACACATTCAGGCTGAGGATAGAGCAATATATTTAATGTGAGTAAAAACAAGTTATACAGAATGATCACACCTGCAAAGCTCAGCCATGCCATTTGATGAATTGAATTCATATTCCCCCACCTTCTCCAATGTTGGTCTTCTCTCCGTGGCAAATATTGAATATCTATTTTCCCAGTTATCTCGTGTTCAGCTTTGGGAATTGTGTGGTTAGAGCCAAGTATTAAATAAAGCGCTTATATTATTACCATTATTATAGTTATCATATAGAAATGGAGAAACCGGTGAACATGTGACGAAATGAAACATAATATACGTATAAAATAATATTTTCTTTAAAAATACAACAAATAGATTGAATGTATCTTTGAAGATGTAGAGCTTTTTCGTTTATCTAATACACGAAAGTATAATTTGTTGTGTAGTAAACTTTTTTTAACCGAAAATAATGACTGAAGGTATCTATAACAAGTAGTAATTGTTCTGTTCACTCTAATACATATATCAT